GTTTTGTCAGAGTTTAGAAGTAAGAAGTTGCAGGTCATCCAGGCCTTTATGTCTTTAAGACATGCTTGAAGTTTGACCAGCTGATCTGATTCATTTGGCTTCATAGATAAATATAATTGAGTATCATCTGCATAGCAATGGAAATTTATGTTGTGCTTCCTGATAATACTGCCTAAAGGGAGCATGTATAAAGTGAAGAAAATTGGACCTAACACAGACCCTTGTGGAATGCCATGACTAACTTCAGTTTGTGTGGAAGTGTCAGGTTTGCTCAGCTGCACCTGCCTCTCTCACCTCCCTCACTTCATTTCTCTTTTCGGTCCCTGATTACACCACCATGCACACCTGCTCCACTTCCTTTGATTATCACCAGCTGCACTTCATTAGTTCTTCCCCTTACTTATACCCAGCTCACTTACCACTCCCTTGCCAGTTCATTCTTGTTCTCAGGCCCGCTATGATGTTATTTCTGTTGTACCTTTACCAGTCCGCATTTCCTTGTTTTTTTTGTTTTTTTTGTCAGCTTATATATATTTAATGGACCTCCTGTTGCTGTTCTCCGCCCATGCTGTTTCCTTCTTCCATGGATTACTACCTCCGGACCTTGGCTCCTACTAAACCCTTCCAGCCCCCACCAGTCAGGCCGATGCATAGTCACCAGTTTCCATCTGTTCAAAGCCCTGTTTTCGTTCTCCTCAGTAACCGCCGTTCTTCACCGACCAGTTCAGGAGTGACCCCAGCGACACAGCTCAGCCTACTCCTCTCATCTCATCAATGTACTGTATCTGCTGTTGATTGACACCCGGTTTGTCCAGTTCATCTACTCCTATTTAATCTTGCCATTCACTGCTCTGTATATAATAGATCACTGCTTGCACTGAAGTCAGCCATCTGGGTCCGCTTTTCTTTTGCTCGCTCACCATCCCATGTGCGAGCAAACATAACAGGAAGATTCATCATGAACATGAACAAACTGAAATCTTTCTGATAGGTAAGATTTGAACCAACTTGGTGCAGTTCCTTTAATCCCAATAACATGTTAAAGTCTCTGCAGTAAGATGTTGTGATCAGTGGTGTCAAAAGCAGCACTGAGATCTAAGAGGACAAGTATGGAGACAAGTCCTTTATCTGAGGCTAAGAGAAGATCGTTGGTGACTTTCACCAGTGCAGTTTCTGTACTATGAGGGACCTTAAAGCCTGACTGAATATCCTCAAACAAATCATTCTTATGCAAGTGGTCACATAACTGCTTAGCAACAGCTTTTTCCAGAATTTTAGAAAGCAATGGGAGATTGGATATTGGTCTATAATTAGCTAGGACACCTGGGTCAAGAGTAGGCTTTTTGAGTAGAGGTTTAATTACTGCAACCTTAAAAGCCTGTGGAACATAACCTGTTAATAGAGAGAGGTTAATCAGATCTAGTATGGATGTGTTGATTAGGGGAAAGATGTCTATGTGCAGCCTGGTCGGGATGGGGTTCAGGAGACATGTTGATGATTTAGGTGAAGCAATTGTTGAGGTCAACTCACAGAGATCTATGGGAGAGAAGTAGTCCAAGTATAAATGAGGTCTTACAGATGTTTTTAAAGCCACTGTAGTAAATGGCACATCCGTAAGAACTGTGGGAATGGTCTGACCAATTTTTTCTGTAATAGTTGTGATTTTATTTGTAAAGAAGCTGTTTAGTATCAGGTTTCATCTTTCTTAGGTTGCGAATTTGTTGTGATATACACTCACTGGCCATTTTATTAGGTACACCGGTACAATTGTATGCACTTCAATGTAACACTTCCAGCTTAACATTGGTGTTTATGAAGCTCAAAATGTTTCATTTTTGTTGAAATTGTTGTTCATTTATAATTTCAATTATATGTTTATTATTCAGGTCTTAGTTAAAGGTGGTGTTGTACTGGACTACATTATATTCAGAGTTGTCTTTGTTTTTGTCCTCACCAGCTACATATGTACGTGGGAGGGTCAGAATATTAGGAATAAGCTATTTCAGGAGATGCTCATTTGAGAGGGAAGGGACAAGCAACTACATGGATCAAATAGGTTGGAGGACTTGTTGTCTTGGTCTCACTTCTCTTTTTTTTTTTTTTGAGCATATCTGAGCGCTCCTCTTGTGTTTCCTAGATCTCCAGGAGCTCCCCCACACAGACGAGGGGTTGTTGGCTGAAACCTGAACTTTCAGCTTTTCAGAGTAGCTCCTCTTTGCAGCTTTGATCTCCTTTGTCAGTGTGTTCATGGCCTGGCTGTACAGAGTCCTGTCTCCACATAGTGTGTTCATGGCTTTGGCACGAAAAAGCTGCTTGAGTCTGGCTGTGAACCAGGGCTTGTTGTTACTGCATGTACAGAAAGACTTGGGGCACACGCATCCTCACACAAACTGATATAAGATGTGTCAGTGAGTTCGTCCAGGTCTGTAGCTGTAGTCTCAAATACACTCCAGTCTGTGCAGTCGAAGCAGGCCTGTAGCCTGACTTAGCCTCCTCAGTACAGCTCTTCACTGTTTTGACTACAGGCTTTGCAGCTCTAGGTTTCTGCCTGTAGGTTGGAATAAGATGGACCATACAGTGATCTGAGAGTCCAAGGACTGCACGGGGGACAAAGCGATAGGTGTCTTTTATTGTTGTGTAGCAGTGGTTCAGTGTGATTTTTGTCCCTGGTGGGACAGGTGACATGCTGTCTGTATTTGGGCAGTTCGTGGAAAAGATTTGCCCTGTTAAAGTCCCCTAAAACAATGAGTGGAGAGTTGGGATGTTCTAGCTCCATGCTAGTTATCTGCTCTGCCAGGAGCTGTAGTGCGCTAGCGTGGGTCTGTGGTTTTATGTACACTCCCATTAGAATGAAACTGTTATTAAATTCACAGGGAGAATAAAAAGGTTTGCAATTGATAACAAGAGTCTCTAGGTCTGCGTTACATGTCCTCTGTAGCACTGTGACATCTGTGCACCAACCTTCCATCATGTAGAAGCAGAGTCCACCTCCTCTTGTTTTCCCAGACAGCTCCGTAGCGCGATCCGCTTTCCCTGGCGTGTTTTCTCCAGGTTCTGTATATTGCCACTGCGCCTCCGATCAGAATGTCCATACAGCATTCACAAAAGTCAGAGGAAGGTATTTCGGTGTGAGTTGTCCGATATTTAACAGTTCTTCTCTGGTAAAAGTAATCCAGGATAAGTTGCAAAAGATGAAGAAAACAAAAAAAACAACAAACACAAGAGATCGCGAGTGACCAAGGCTGCCATTGCTACCAGTGCCAGAAAAAAATTATCAGTAGAAAAAGCATGCATTATCTTTTTGGGCTGTCTGCGCATATGTACGATTCTTGTGAATGCTATCTCCAGAAAACATTGTGGCACCTTTCAGCTGTTATTCCACTCCATGATTCTTTAATGCTGGAGGCATTATGTTTTCAGGCCGTCTGTCCGTCTCATTCTTGTGAACATGATACCTCAGGGACACCTTGAGAGAATTTCTTCAAATTTAGCACAAATGTCCATTTGGACCCAAGGAGGAAATTATTTAATTTTGGTTTTCAAAGGTAGGTGACCTCACTTCTGTCCCCTACCCATGAATTTGACTGGTTGGCTGAGGCAAAAAAAAAACATGAAGAGGTAATTCTAGTTATGCTGCCCCTGAGAAAATCAAGATTTCGAATCTGACTGAAAAAATGCTTCTCATTTTGACAAGAATCATGCTGCCCTATTCCCATTCTTAGTACAGATAAACCCTTCTTACCCAGCTAATGTTGAAAAAATATACTTCTGACTAGGCATGTACAGTAGCTTCTTAATAGGATTTGTGCACCCTTGATCAATTGGAACTTTAAAGAGTAACTTTCTATCAAACTGAACAGCGGTGTTTCACATTGATTTATACCCAGCATGATGGGGTCTCTTATGGCATCTGTAACCACATCTGAAAATGTCTTTGCCTTTTCAACAGAGCAAAACAACTGTGGAGCATCTCCAGGACAAGTTGACAAAGCTAAGGACTGTGGCTGATGATCTGGAGCGTGTGCATCAGCGCGCCACCATCGGCAGTTTGGCAGGAAGTGTGATTGGAGCGATGGGGGGGATTACAGCTGTAGTGGGTCTTATACTGGCCCCATTCACTTTGGGAGCCTCTCTTATTGTAACTGGAGTTGGTGTGGGTGTGAGTACACTTGGTGGTGTCGCTGCTGGGGCCTCAAATATCACAAACATGGTGAACCAGTCCTCTGATCGCAAAGCTGTTCGAAGCATCATTAAAGAGTTTGAAGAGAAAATTAATGCAGTAGTCACCTGGCTCCAGGAGATATGCAACAGCGTACAGGCAATCAGAAACACATTTCAGACAGCTGATGTACCTGGCACTATGGATAGCAGTTTCAGTGATGAGAACCTGGCACGGCTTGGCCTCAGGGCAGGGAGGGGCCTAGGTGCGATTCCTGAACTGATTAGACTAGTTCAAGTAGTTAACATTGGCAAGATCGCAGCACAGGCAACCAGAGCAGTACGTGTGGCAGAGGCAGTCACAGGTGTGCTTTCAGCTTTATTTTTAGCAGTAGACATCTTCTTCATTGCCGTGGATGCTAAAGAGATACACCACATTAGACAGGCAAAGGCAGCAGAGGAGAGAACTAATTCTCAGCCAGTGTCTGAGACTGAAACTGAAGATTCTGTGTCCACCTTTGACAAGGCTGTACTAGTGGTCAAAGAGTCTGACAGTGCTGAACCTGACAAATCAGAAGAAAAGAACCAGTCTTCCTCAGAAACCACTCAAACCAAATCTGAGATCATGAAATTTGTCAAGTCAGTCAGGGAGGCAGCAGACAACTTGCAGGAAGTCCTGGATGAGATCAGAAGCATCATCTCATCTATCCCTTCATTTGGGGATGAGAGTGACCTGGAATAACAAGAGAGAGAATGAATGTAACCAAAAGTTAACTAAAATCAAGTCAAATAAATATTATAATAAAAAAAATGTACTCACTGAAGTCACCACCCAGTAGCTAATTCAGTTCACATTATTCTGTTGTACAAGTGCATTAACGCTTTACCTCTTTAAAAAAAAAAAAAATGAAGTATGTTTTTGTTTTGTTTTTTTTATATACCATGCACCAGAATTTTAAAAGGTACATGTCTGATTTTGGATCTTGATAATGAAGTGGGAATGATTTGGATTTCCAAGTAAAAATATTTTATTAATGAAATCAATTAAACATACAGTATGTGTAATCAGTGTCAGTACTAATGGGTAATATAATAAAATACAAGTGACAAACTTGCATTTAAGTTAAATCACATCTACTGTATCACCAGGCTGGATAACCTTAAACTAAGTTTTCTGACTACTAACAAAGGAATAAAAAAATGTTGAATGCTTATTGCGGGAGTAAACGATGTATTGCTAGCAACCTGAAAACATATCGTTTTTATTACTTGTATTTTTTCATCATTTGCTACATTAATGAAATACAACATGAAAGCAGCAGCATCTGTAGTGGTGGTACTGTACCAAAAGGACTCTGTGACACAAGTCAATTAATATGGCTACACCCAGAGAAGTAACCTAGGAGCACTGCAATGAAAGGGCTCAGTGCTGTACATAAACTTGCATCAAATTTTCTTAGGCATGACTGATCTTTGAACAAACAATAAAAATTTTTATAAAGTTAACACATAAACATTCTACAGATAGGGGCTTTAGCTGCATTCAAACACATGCTTATGAGTAGTGTGCCAAGTTTAATTTTAACTTAGTAGTTTGACATACAGATACAAACGCTGGGGTGACCATGCTTTTATTGTTGCAGCTCCTAAATTGTGGTATGGTTGACCTTTTAATGTTAGATCATCTACAGACTTGACAACTTTTGAATCATTGGTTAAAGCATATTTATTCACTTTGGCTTTTAATACATAGTATTGTCTGATGCTTCCTTCTTTTAACTGTTGATTCTCTGTAGTTCATATTTTTATGTTGTTTTATTTCTCTATTGATATTATTTATTCTGGTTTATACATTGCCTTTGTAAAGTACTTTAAAAGCAACATCTGGTCGACCAAAGTGCTATATAAATAAATTTTGATTAGATTTTTTGAAATTTTTGATTGAAAACCTCTAAAGCATCCACCACTGACCATCGAGGGTGCTGTAGTGGAGAGAGTGAGCAGTACCAAGTTCCTGGGGGTGCACATCTCTGAGGACCTCTCCTGGACCAACAACACAGTATCACTGACCAAGAAGGCTCAATCATGCCTCTACTTCCTCCGCAAACTGAGGAGAGCTAGTGTCCCACCCCCATCATGCGCTCCTTCTACCGGGGCTCCACTGAGAGCGTCATTACTGGCTGCATCACTGTATGGTACTGCAAGAGGCAGTACAGAGGGACTCTGCAGCACATAGTGAATACAGCCAGCAAGATCATCGGCGCCCCTCTGTCTTCTGTTAGATATTAGTAAATCAGTCAGATAATTATTAAACATTAATGTGTTAGTAATGCAGTTTAGTAAGATTCAAAGTCTGCTCTAGTCTGCTCTGTTTCAAGGTTAGAAGACAGTGTTGATTCTGAAATGTTAGCTACAGTTACCCTGACAGCAATTGTTTTCTTGTATTCTTCCTATGTTAGATTTATGTCTGAATGAATGTTTTAGTTACACACCACGTGACAACACACACACACACACACACATCGAAATTCTTCATTTTGTTATGACTAGTTGCTCAAAGCATGTGGAGCTCTAGATAAGAGAAGGAGATGTTGGACTGTCTCCATCTCGTGATGCTTTGTAATCTTTTTGTGTAAGGGGTTAGCCCTAAACATATAAATGTATTAGGCTCTGTGCTACCGCGGCGGCTCTTTTTTCCAGCAGCCTGCCTGTGGATGTCTGGAGAAAGGAGCCACCCGGGTTGTGTTTTGTAACTTTGCTTGTGGTTTAAATAAATCAGCACTAAAATGAAGAAAGACGGATTCCTTCCTTACTCAGATCTGTCCAATAAAAGAACAGGGGTATTACACTTCCCTTATGGACATTTTAGCAGCCACAGAGCCATCAGCACTGCTGATGACACCTCCCACCCCTCACACTCCCACTTCAGACTCCTGCCTTCAGGGAGAAGGTATCGGAGTCTTCAGGCCCGCTCCACCAGACTTACAAACAGCTTCATCCACCAGGCTGTGAGGATGCTGAACACTGTCCATCCCCCCCTGTAGAATACAGAAGTAAGAGCATATGCAAAATTGTTGTTCCAACAGTTCCCCTGCATATTTGCAGATGACCCTCATTTGCTGTACATCCAACTGTGTGAAACCAAACCATTTTCAAATTACAGAAACTGAGCCTTTTTTAGAACCAGATCTTCATTTGCCATGCCACATTCTGTTTACAAAGTGAGCTACACCTCTAGATGCATAGTGGGCCCAATTAACGTCACACTACACAGCCAGGACAACATTATTACTTACAACAAATCATGTATGTTGCTTCATTCACATGTAATATGAAAGTTTGGTTTGCACTTTTTAAACTCTATTTATTTAAGGAGGTGATCTGTACAATTCTTTTAAAAACTAGATCATATGCCGCCGATTTGGGTCGGTCAGTGGTGGGAAAGTCATCAGAAGCCAGTTAAAGGCCAGTTTAGCCAAGTATAAAAAACATATATATGGTATTTTTGGTGGAAAAGCAGTATATGAGATGATGCTGTAACCCCTTACAGCTACATACAAATCAATAAATCTTGACTGTAGACAGTATGTCTAAATTTGGACTGATGAATGTCCATGAGGCATGGCTCAGATTAGCTGATGTTGCTTTTGAACAGATCACTGAGACGGTTTGAGTGTTTTTGCAGATCAATGTAGTTCTAAACCACACTTCCATTCTCGTTTTATTGATTGGACTCCAGGTTTGCTAACACCTGACTCTAGTTGATGTTTAGTGACATCAGAAGCCTAGTGTTGCCATTACTTTTTCCACCATCACATTGTATGTTTAATGGGGGTGTTCAATAAAGACATATTTGCCAAAAACATTTTGACTAGTTATAAAGCCTACTGTAAGGGATCACTTATTTATTCCTCCATCACTGTGTTCAATAAGCAGAGGTGTGGACTCGAGTCACATGACTTGGACTCGAGTCATTAATTTGATGACTTTAGACTCGACTTGAAAAAATGTAAAAAGACATGCAACTCAACTTGGACTTTAACACCAATGACTTGTGACTTCACTCGGACTTGAGCCCTTTGACTTGAAAAGACTTGATACAAACCCAAATATTAAAACATTTTTAAATGCATGCACTAATCTATTCATTTCACTCCTCCCCCTCTCTCTCTGCACCTGTGTGTATGTATGTGTGACCTGTCAGCACAGTAGCCAATCAAATGAATCCAGGAAGGTAAACAAAGCAGCACTCTGCAACTATGGTACAAAAGATAATTTCATTCGGGTATTTAAACTATGAAGTGGTCAACAAAAAACGAATTGCAGTATGCAGAACATGTGGGTCGAAGATTACGGACCGAGACGCAACAACTTCCAACTTCGTTCGACATTTGAAGTTGCACAAAGAACGGTAAGTAGAGCTCACAAGCTAATGCTAAGCTAACTTTAGCTTATCAGGAAACTATGGAGAGAAAACACTATCAAAAATGTTACAATTGCGTGTTTAACGTTTTGTCCGTAACAAGTTATTTGTGTTTGTGTGTCATGAGGTTCACAAATGCGTGCTGCGCAATCTGCACGTATAAAGCGATTGTCATGTATAAAGCGATTGTCATGCTGTTCACAAATGCGTGCTGTACAAACTGCACATAAAACACATTTTACAAATGCTTAAAATCAATTTTTTGTGTGCAATTCTTTAGAAAGTACGTACAAATTGTTACCTACGCACGCGTGGATCGTCTAACACACACGAATCACCTTCCGCGCACACACGGATTTTTGAGAGTGTTTTTCCGCACTCTCAAAAGTCCACGATCCACGAATGCACGGTGCGTTTAAGGACACGTGGAAAACTCGGACATCTGATTTTCCCAAACAAAAGTATTTACACAACGCTATTCCAAATGGACATTACATAAAATAAACAGAGAACATCCCAGCTGCCTGCAGTTTGTGGTGCATGTTCTAAATTTTTATATATTAAATATATGCTCCACGGTTTGTCGTGCTATGCTAGATAAGTGGATGGTTCGATATGATGCCACTAGGTGTCGGGCTAGCTTGTCATGCTGTTAATCGCAGCAGCCATGTCAGGACAAAGTCGGCCTGGCTCATCTTCTCTCGTGAGTATACAATTAATGATCATTCTTAATCACAACATGCCTGCATTGTCTTAGTAACATGCTCTTATGATCAGTAAACCTGAACATGCGTCCTGTTCACACCAGGATCATATGCTTACAGTGTTTCGTTAGCTTAGTAGCTAGTTAACTAGTTAGTTACATTTAGCCTTTAGCTACCAGCATTAACTCAATGTAACTTTTTGTGTTGCCAAATTTAACTATATGTAGTGACAGGTTTCACGTCAACCCAACCAAACCAAACACCATGACAGTACTTTAGTCAACGAGAGTTAGGCTCCAACTGTACATATGGACATTTTCTGTAGATTTAAGATAACGTTAATGCCATTGGTTGGCTGCACTGTTTATTTACACTGCACTACTTAGTCACACTCTGAATATTCTATACTTGCACATTGTGTTAGCTCATTCTGTAAATTCATTTTGAAAATAAGAAAAGTAAATGTACAGTATTATTTCACTGCACCTTATTATATCTGTTTTTTATTTTATTATGCTGCTTATTTCAGACACTTGTATGTTATTTGTCATGTCTCATGCTCCATGTTATATGTATGCACCAACTCACGACAACAAATGCCTTATAATGTGAACCCCCTTCCCTTCACTTCTTTGGCAATAAACCTGTTTCTAATTATTCCTTTTAATGTGTAGGGGATGCTGCAATAGGTAGAGGTGTGACCCACCACATCCTCTCATCAACCATGTCCAAACTCAAACAGGGATTCAAAATGAACTTTGGTATGACTTTTTAATTGTATTTATTAAGAGAATCTATCAGTTTGATATTCAGTTCTTCTATACAAATAAAGTGAATATTATTGTTTGTCATTAGCATATGCACATATAAGTTTCTTGACACAGATGTACAGTACTAATATGCCAAAAGAGAAACGATGTTTATAATTTTTTTTATTTCAGGAAACACTGCAATGACTAATGTTTGAAGGAGAAATTGATCATCTTGTCCCAAATGGATCAGCTGTGCTTCTTCAAAGCGAGATTTTTGTCATGGTTGGTCGAATGATAGGACATTCAATAATAAATAATAATGACATTCAAATTGTCAGCTGTTGTGTTTACTTGATTTCACTATAAAAGGTGAATATATGTGTCCAACTAGTGCAAGTTGATTATATTAATTGTACTCAAGAACAATAACATTCAATTTGATACAGACTCTGGTTACCTGATAAGTTTATGATTAGTGTCTATATGCACAAGGTACTTGGGACAGGGCACAGAATACGTTCGGCGGACAACACATCCCAACTGAGTCATTCTTGACAGAATTCCCAAGCTGTCCACACGATGCATTGAAGCTCTGACTCGGTCCCATCCAAGATGATATCCTTGTGCTTTTAGTGTCCCTTTCACTAATCTATAGCCTGCATGCGGCCTCCGGTCCTTAATTCCAATGATCAGTTCATCAAGCTCGGCATCTGTACATGAACTGTAAAGTCCGCGGACAGACAAGTTGTTCTCTGCCATCCTCCTGAACAGTGTGGCAGGAGATACTCCCCACAGCCTTGAAATAGTAGGAACCGACAGTC